GACAATAAGGTAATTGAAGTTTCTAGTGGAAATTTTGAAAAATCAGTTATTCACAGTATAAAATTCTAATCAGAGATCAAGGAAATAGGAACTTCAAAAGATCTTTTTGTTGGAAAAATTAGACCACCTTTATCAGAACAAAGCCAGACTGCAATGCACAGGACTCACACCATGCTGCAATGAGAGAAAAAATAAATGGGGATGTGGCAGAGGTGACAAGAAGAGGAGGCATCATATATAGATTAATGTGTAAACAAAATGACAGGGTATAAAAGGAGAGTTGAAACAGAAGCTAAATTAATTGTCTTCCAGCATTTATATTTTTCATAAAAAAGGTTAAATAAAACATAAAGCAAAAATGTTCCTTGAAAAGTATTTGAGGATAGTAAGATCATTTTTATTTCACTGGGTTGACTATTAAAAAGAAAAACTAAATATGATGTTTTCATATGACCTCTCAATAATTTTTTTGGTATTTGTTAAGCATGAAAAGAAAGCTTTAAATTTATTAAACCTGATGAGTGATAGTTTTTAAATTCGGCTACAGATTATATTACACATATTTTTCTACGAAATTATATTACATATATACTGACATCATAAAATATTCTCTAAGTAGTTCAGGTTAATTCAGTCCCACATATATGTATTGCCTTCCTATTAAGAGGCAATTACTACACTAGGCAATTACTAGGCTATCTAAATATGGAGAGCTACAGTCTCAAAAAACAACCTAGATAACCTGAAATTTTTAATACAATGTGTTTGAACTGAGATAATAGTAGGTGTGATGGGCACTGGCAACACTTAATCCAACCTAATGATTCAGGCATGAGGAATACTGAAGCAAGCCTTGAAGGAGAAATAAATATTAGCCAGTTAAAAAAACAAAAAACAAAAAACAAAAAACAAAAAAAAAAAACGCCGAGAGATGACATTCAAGACAGAGAGAATAGTATGACAAAGTTACAGATACATTCCAGAGCATGTTACATAAATGGCATTATAACCAGTAGTCTGATGTACTGAAGCATAACTGATAAATTTTGAAAGCAAAGGCTGAAGAAAGAGATCAAAGAAAGTTTATGAAGAGCTTTGTATGTTATTATAAGGAACTAAACTTTATAAGTTTAGAACAAGCCTAATGTAAGTAAAGCACTGGATTAACATGATCAGGATTGTATTTTAGAAGACTCTTGCTACAATGAAGAGGAGTCAACACTTAGGGAAAAGAAAGAACTTAGAAGGATACTCACCCAGAAGTGAGATGATGACAAAGCCTGATGGAAATATATAATAGAAATGGAAATATAGGAAGGGTTCAAGATCAATTCATATGATAAGAGAATTCAACAGTGTTTGGTGGTGGATTAGAAGTGATCGGTGAGTGCAGAACTCTAGGATAACTCACAGGATTCTGGCATTGGTGACCTGCTAGATGATAGTGCCATGAAACCATAACATATAACAGGGATAGGAATACATTTGAATGGAGGGAAAAGGCAGAAAGTGGTGACTTTAATTTGGACTGTTAAATTTGGGGTACCAGTGGAAGTTCAAAATGGATTTGTCTAGCAGGTCTTTGGATTTATAAATATGAAATCAGCTAAGAGGTTAAAGCTGAAAATATAGGTCTGGGATCACCATTTACATGTTACTTGAAACCATGAGCATGAATGAGAATGCTTTGTTAATGCAGAAGAAATGCAAACGTCTTTCACACTCATTGTTTATATTGTCCTTTGAGATCTTTCTTCTTGCACAGTTATACTTCATTTTAAGGAGATTTTTCTTATTTGACTATGTTGTGGTTTAAGAGGAGAGGCACCATTTTGATTTAACCAGAGAAATGAAAACTCATGAATAGGAATACTATCTGTTCACTGTTTCCAATTTCCTGTTCTTACCAAAACATTGCCGATTTAGCTTGGCTTCCTTTAAGTTTTCTTCTCCAGAAGTAGATAGATCTTTCTGTTTCTACTGTAGTGAGGGCTCTCATGATACCTGCTACCAACAGTGTGCTCCCAAAAGTTAGCTAAGAGGTCTATACTATTTTCCTATGGATGCTGTTGTTAATTACTAGAAACTTGGTGGCTTAAAGCAACATGAATTTATTGTCTTACAGTTCTGGAGATCAGATGTTTAAAAACAGTTTAACTGAGTTAAAATCAAGATGTTTGTAACAGACTGGCATTCTTTCTGAAGGTTCTAGGGGAGAATCTTTTTCCTTTTCTAGCTTCTAGAGATTAGCTATATTCCTTTGCTCATGGCTGCCTTCCTCCACCTTCAAAGAACATCTCTCCAACTTCTGCTTCTATCATCCCATGTTTTCCTTCTGCCTTTGACTTTCTTGTTTCTGTCCTGTTTCCATGGTGATTACATTGGGACCATGGGGTAATTCAGTATAACCTTCCCACCCCAAGATCCTTAACGTAATCACATCTGCACATTGTCATGTAAGATAACATTTACCGGCTCAAGGGAATAGGATGTAGACATCTTTCCAGGGCTTTTATTCAGCTATCACATTGTCTATGACTAGAAATAGACACAGAGGCTAGCCCTGGCTTATAGTAGTGCTTATAGGCACTCTGCTTATATAAATAAGGTAACTGGCCATATATATATTTAAATAGCTTTCTTTAACTAAAAACAAGCATATGTATACTTGTTTTAATTACCAAAAAAAGTGGTTATCAGTTTTACTTGCACAATATCACTATTAATTTCCTGATAACTCTAAAGATTTAATGTAAATTTCATAGCTAGTCAATGTAACAGACATTTATCATTTTTCTTTTTTTGACTTTAGCATCAAATTTTCCTTCCTAATAGCTTCCTGAACTTGTTTTGAGGAGTTACCTATCCCCAGTTATGTATACTTTTGGAAGTTGATAGATCCAGGTGCCTGTTTTCCATTTTGGAAGTTAAAAAAAAAAAAAAA